TTTTTTCCTCTCAAAAAACATTTGATAGTAACAGGAAAAAAAATCCAAGGAAAAGATGTTGTTTCTGCAGGATCTGGTTCATGAATACCCAGCATTCCTGGTCAAGTTCATCTGAGAAAAATAGTCTTTCTCCTAAGCAAATGTATGTCACTCCCCTCTATGGTCTTTTGTGGATCTTGACTGAATTGCATCTTGCAGCTGAGACAGGGAAAATGCTGCCTCCCTAGTCCATTTCCTGCTTGTATTTTATGACTAAAATTCATTTCTCAAATTATCTGAAGTCCCATGCTGATACAGCATAGTGTTAGGTGAGGTTTGTAAGTTTGTTTGGTCACTTGAGAAAAATGTGTAAAATGTAGACGTAATAAGGGACTAATAATCCTTTCTTCATCTTTTTATACATTTCAAAGTAGACTGAAATGCAGGACAAACTCAAAGGCAGGTAGGGAGGTTCAGTGCTTGTCATTTTCTGTCCTTTGTTCAGCTTCATGGAACATCTGTATTCCCGAGAAATAGCATTTCCTGTGATAGAGGAGAACTAGCATTTGGAAAACTATTTAAAGGAATACGTATATACAATTCTATTTGAGGAAGGCTATAGGAAAAATGTCTGCTTATGATTTAATGGGCTGTACTTAGAGAAAGGAGGTTTCTAAATCTTTATCTCATTCTTCCTTTAGGAAAGAGCCATATATAAAGTTGGGCTACTTCGGAGATACACTGGGCAGGTCATGAATAATCATGATTACAATATGCCACAGGAATTAAATCCTATAATAACCAATTCTGACAAGATGAGCATTGCAAATATAATCATCTTTCCTTACAGGGGGTCACTGCTCTTGTATATAGTTCCTCATAAGCAGTCCCCAGGTGTTCTACATGGTAGAGGAGCCTCTTCACTAATGTAAGAAGAACGGAAGGAAGGAGGGAGGAGAAGGGAAGGGAGAAGAGGGAAGAAGGAAATGCATATTTTTAAAACACTTAATATAAGTGAGGCATGTGCAAAATGCTTTAGGTGTATTACTTTATTTATTCAGTACTTACAACAGCCTTGTGAGATAGGGTCTCATCTCTATTTTACAAAAAGAAAAACCTTAGTTTTTAAAGTCAGAGGTTAACTGACTTATCCAAGTCATACAGCTAGTAAGTGGTTAGTCTGGGATCCTGTGCCAGGCTCAACATTTTTGGCACAGAACTTCTTCGCTGAGATGGTTGGTGGGTCCCCAAGTTTACATAAACAAGACCAAGGAGATGGTGTAGTCACCTGAAAATACTCAGGATAAATCTCTGCTCTTGGCACCCACTCTGGCACTGGCCTTTCTTCTCTGAAAGACAGCATCTGTCCATATCATTTAGAAGGAAATCTAACAACTGCATGAAAACACGGGGATGTAAAAGGAGAAACCTCAACGACTTGATACCAAGTTTTGAAGTCTGTCAGGTGACTAACAGCTAGAACGTTTTCAGTGGAAGATAGATTTTCATCTCAAGTACAGGAAAGCACAAAAATATATACAAATCCCAAAAGCAGTACCAAATGGTTTGTTAGCCAGCAGCAGTTTTGCAAAGATTATAGCCCTCTACAGAAAATACCTTACCCAACTAGTTTTGCCCTTTAGATATTTCAGAACAGCTGTCATGGAAGATTCCTCCTGATTAGGGACTGCTCTCAAAAGAGGCTACTCATGGTCTGTATGTTTAGGCAGAATTCGGTATTTACTCCTATAAAATGGGTAGAAAAATTCTTCTACAGATCATTGATATGTCCAGATCACTTGGATTGGGGGTTTATTTGGTTGTGGTTTTTTTTGTTTGTTTTATTTTGGTTTGGTTTGGTTTTTGTTTTTAGGAATAGTTAAAGTGACTACAGTTGGGAAGAGAATAGTTTGATGTGCATAAAAAGGCACAGGATTCTATCAGGATCTTGTTTTTTCTACATCAACTTCAAGGACACAGAGGTATCTAACCCATTACCAACAGGATCTAATAGCATAATAGCAGCCTTTTTTAAAAAGCCCAATTTCACTTGATGTCTCAACTATTCCTTCATGGAAAACTACTTGCTTTGGTTTTATTCTACTGTGACCAAGTATGATTTCATGGCCCTTCTAAACTTTCTATCAAGGAACAACATGGCAGTTGGAAGGATAATCCCTAAACCATAAGGACTTGGGACAATTTTACTGAACTTGAAACATTACCCCAATACATATATTTAGGGTAAAATCTGGGAAGGTGCAGGAAAAGCACTCATTTTTCACTCGAAACTATTCAAGTGGCAACAACACAGTGTACTTACCAAAATTCTGCTTTGTCATGCCAGCTTTCTATCGTCCATTCACACAGCAGCTTCACAAAATCACCCCAGGCTTCTGCACTGAATGCATGTGCCTACCTCATTGCTTTGAAATCAGTGCCATTCTAATCCAGCAGGATAATTTTACAAGTGAAGTCATCAGAATATGTTAGCCTGTCTTCAGTAGCTCTAGGAAGAACTGTGTTTGTCAGAGTACCTTTAAATGTAAAGAGTCTGAGTATATACATCAAATTGCATTTCAGCAAGACTTCTTTATGATTGTCCCCCATTTATTATTTTTTAAACTCAGAACAACAGAAATTAATTTCACTTATGAGATTAGATTGATCAATTACTTCAAAATCACAACTGGTATCTGCCTGGTTTCTATAAAAGATAGATACCCTCTATAGAGATATCTATATAAAAGATAGATATCTCTTTAGAAATTTTGATGTCATTAGATGTTATTGCCTAGAGGAAAAAAGTCCTTTCACTCATGATTTGCTCAAAACTAAGCCTGCAGCTTTGCAAAAAAAAAAAAAAAAATACTATCTACATATACATATATAATATACAGCACTGTGTGAGTTTAAGGTATAAGTGATTTGACTTAACATATATTATGAAATAATGACCACAGTAAGTTTAGTTAACATCCATTACCTCATATTGATTCCAAAAAGAAAAAAAATGGGTTTTTTCCCTTGTGATGAAAACTCTTAGGATCTACCTTCTTAACTTTCAAATATGTCAGACAGCAGTGTTAACTATAGTCATCATGTTGTACACTGTGGACTTTTCTAAAGGCAAATTCCTATTAGTTCAATGCCACTTTCATCTCAGTAAATCATATACAAGTGGACTTAAAAAAAAAATAGCCTGGACTCTTTCCCAAGAACTTCCATCCACTGCATGCGTTACTGCTGCCCCTTTCTGGATCATGAGCGTGAAATGTTTTCATGGCTCTTGGCCATAGCCAAGACAGCCTGAGCTTGCTTTCCAGCCCTAATAATAATTATGTTCTATATAATAATAATTATTATTATCCTTTCTCCTGAGTAGAAAAGTGACTGGACCAACCCAAAAGGACTAGGCTCTTCTTCCTCTGATCCAGATTTTCTTCTATTGCAGATTGGATTTGAGGACCCTCCCCTCCAGGTACAGGCTGCAGCTTCAGGGAGTGGGAATGGAGCTGATTCTGAGCCAGCTCGTCATGTCTTCTCCTTTTCCTGGTTGAACTCCCTGAATGAATGATGTTCATTCCAGCTGCTGCCCTCGGTCTGCCTGGCTGAGATGCACACCAGCAGCAGGGAACCTAGATGAAATTAATATGATGCAGGTGATGAAAGGGACCTCTGAACAGGATTTCTGCAAAAAAAAACAAAAACCAAAAAACAAAAACAAAAACAAAAACCCTTTAATTCCAGATGACTTTCCAGAGGGAAAACAACTTTGAGAAAATAGTTGCTGAAAGTATTGGAAAAAAGAAACTTGATCTTATGCAAATCTTTTATTGTGTGGGAAACATTATGAAGAGTATGTAGGTGTGATACGTGTGTGTGCGTCCATAACGTGGCAAGTGTTGAAAAAGTGTGCACTACACTCTTGTCTCTAATAGGCATTGGCTTTTGTTATAATATCATAGTAGCTCTTACTCTTTTTCTTCTTTAACAATGCAGTTGGTCAGTGAAATTCAGTGTTAATTCAGAAGTGACTAATTTATCAATATATGGACAAAAGGTAAATCATTGACCAAAGATATGAAACATTTTACAAAGGTTTCCTCTTTTCCATAACAGATGTCACTGGATATATATCCAGAAATGTTCCTTAACTCTGGTGGCACTTTCGTAGTCCAGAAGGCTGAAGGCCTAGGACATTTCTGGTGACATTTTTCTAATCTAAGATAGATATGCAGATATCAAGCACTTAAAATGAAAAAGAATTTCCAACAGGAACTGTCTACTTTCTTATGTACCTACTGAGGCACCAGCCTGGTGAACTGTAGAATAACTGCATGTATTTAAATATATATACACACACCATACACATTTAAAATACATATATATATTTAAATCACCACTATAATGCCTCTTTCAAAACATAAGTATTACTTTATTCTGTATGAACTCTTAAATAAATGCTGTTTTTAACAACTTAGTCTTATAATGACTTATTCAGTGTTTCATGTGATCTTATTAGTACACTAGTCAAGTGTATTCAAAGGGTCCCAAGTGAAGAAGCATCTTCGTACTCCAAATTAATTTTGGAGCATTAAATATTCAATCGAATTTTTGTAAGTTATAACCCAACTACCAAAGATAAATGCATTGTAAAACTAACTGGATGTGCCTGTTCCGTTTTAGAAATGTGTAGTTTATATGCTTAAGAACTACAGTGATTAGGATTGGTATAGACATAAATGAGAAGAGCATTTGTGAAGTTATTAAAGTCAAAATATTTTTTTTGAAATATTTTCCCAGGTGCCATTTCATAGCAATTAAATTTGTTGCTTTAAGTGGAGAAGCTATCAAGCTTCTCCTATTAGAAGTAGGCACTGGAGGGCGCCTGGGTGGCTCAGTCGTTAAGCGTCTGCCTTCAGCTCAGGTCATGATCCCAGAGTCCTGGGATCGAGTCCCACATCGGGCTCCCTGCTCGGCAGGAAGCCTGCTTTTCCCTCTCCCACTCCCCCTGCTTGTGTTCCTGCTCTCGCTATCTCTCTCTCTGTCAAATAAATAAATAAAAATTTAATAAAAAAAAAAAAGAAGTAGGCACTGGAAAATAGCATAGAAAAACTGTATTTTATGGTACCAAAGTAGTAGCTTGATAAAGTGAGTCTTTCTCATACCACAAACAAAAACAAAAACAAGCAGTGTTGGCCCTGTAGTTTGGAGGAATGCCCTGTGAACACTTCTCCTCTTTGCCTTTCCTTTTTCCCCGCCCTCTACAATTATTTAACATCTTATAGTTAATCAGGGTTAGTTATTATTTCCATTATGAATTGATCTTCCAGTCATAGAATTATCAAGTCTTAAAGCTGGAAGAAACTTCCTAAATTATTTAACCTCACCTCAGAGGAGTAATCTGAGGTACAGAGAGGCAATTGCAGTATCTGTGTAAGCCACTGGTGTATGCATGTATTTTTAGTAGGAAATTAATGCAAGGAGTTTTGTTTTCTCTTGTGCTGAAGTCAGGGTGAAGGAAGCCAGGAGCTCAGAGTTTTACTCCTATGAACATTGAAAAGGAAAAATAAAGTCCTGATTACCTTTGCAGCTTTTATTAAAAATATAAATATCCAACATTCTTTTACACAACCAAATGGACCAAGGATTGGGAAAGATGTTTTATTACTGAAACGTTTACAAGGAAAGGTTGATTCAAAGAGCTTACAGATTTTGTTTCACCCACCCAAGAGAATGACATTCTCTTTGGCTCAGACCACAACAAAATAAATTGGGTGACTTCTGTCTGCTTCAAAACATTTCCTTCTGGGTCTATACTTTCTAAACACCATTAAAGACACCTGGAAATGAAAACTAAAAGTAGACAATACAAATAACATTTTGTTGCTGTTACTGCACGTGAATACACTTTGTGCATGCTAATTAAGTATAGGCTCCCTTGCTGTATATCGTCTAGGCTTCACGCTATAAAAAATAAACAAATGGTATCAGAGCAACGCTATGGTACGGAATAGTGTAATTTTTTTAAATTTTTTTGTGCTAAATGCTGCATCTTTTTGGCCAAACGCACCGTTTTATTTCCCAATAATCTCCATCAGTTTCCTGTTGCTGTGAGCTTGCTGCGCTAACTGTTCGGCCCTGGCCATTTCCAAGACTTCTCGGAGGAGGTGGAAGGTGAGATCCAGCGAGATGGGAGGTTCCTCGGATCGCCTCTCCCTCTCCGGTGTCTCTTGGCGGCTGCCAAGGGCATTCTCTGCTCCGCGCTCGGCGGGACCTGCGGGGCTGTCGAGCGGGCGCCGGGGCAGCGGCAGCTGCTGCAGCAACGCGCGGAAAAAGTTGGCGGCCGCCTCGTCCGGCGAAAGGCGGCTGCCGCTGCCGCCAGCGACAGGTGAAGAGGCGGGCAAGAGGGGCGCAGCGGGGCTCTTGTTGAGGTTACCCAGGCGGAGGAAATATTCCTCCCCCATGCGGAGCAGGACGGGCCGAGCCTGCGGCTGTTGCGGCTGCTGGGGCTGCGGCGGCAGCTGAAAGAAATCCAGGGGCTGGGGGTGCTGAGGGACCTGCCGGGCGCCCGGGATGGGCCCCCGGCTGACGAGGGCCCTGCATGGCGGGCAGGGCAGGAGAGCTACCAGCAGGACGCCCGCGGACAAGAGCAGCGGCAGCCGCATGTTAGGGGCGCTCGCTGAGGCAGAGAGGTGGGCGGAGAGCGGAATGAGAGAAGGGAAGAGAGAGAAAGAAAGAGTTGGTCAGAGTTTAGCTTAAATGGGAGGTGCGCCTGGGGTCCTCCTACATGACACCCACAGACGTGCCTCAGGGGTTCGGGCAGGCACTGTCCGCGGTGCTGAAGCTCTCGAACTAGGACTTCTAGAGTTGGAGGGATGGGGGGTTGGGGGCAGGAAAGGGGACTACTACAGAGCTCAGCACCAAGCTCAGCCCCTCGTCTTGCTGGAGTGACCCTTCTTCTTCCGAGACCCTCGAAGGATCTCTGGGTCCCCTTTCTAACGATCCCCAAAACTGATTCCCCGAGCTCTAAAGATCTACACATTTTAGATCTCCCCTGCCCCCACCCCGCCCTTTCCGGATGTTTCCGCGTCGTCCTCCAAATTGAGAACTGCTGCCTCGTCCTCCTCTTTCTCCATCCCAGCCCTTGCGTCCTTCTCTCAGGGGTCGGGATCGATAGCGGGGACTGGTCTACAATGCCAGCGAGGAGTAATTGGCAGTTGCAAGAATGATTAGCAGCCGTCTAAGTTTGCTTTTGACACATGCCGGCTACTACCGGAATCTTGAGGCACAGTCAGCACACACACAGGCACGCACACACACTCACACTCACACACATGCCCTCACAGGGACACCCGGCTCCGCCGCGCACCCCGTGGCAGCTCAGGCAATTCAAAGTTGGAGGCGCGGTTCCGTCTAGGCACTCCCTACCTTCTGAGGTGCTTCTGCAGGTGAGTGGGGCGCTGCCGCCTCTCTGCAGAGGAACGTCTCCGGGCTTTTTCAGGGGTTTTCTTCCCTCTCCTTTCTGTCCTCACTCTCTTTTTCTTCACCTCTTATCTTTCTCTTCAGTCTCTCAACGGACTTGGGCTCTGAGTTTCTCCACACCAGAGCCTGGAGTGGGATTTTATAGCGTCGACCCTCTTCAGAAACCACGCAGCATTTGCCTAATAAGCTGACGCTCTCTTGACAGCTCGATTGCGTGCTGCCTCTGCTCCTGCATAAATCATAGGGCCCTGCCAGAGAACGAGGGGCAGAGTTTTGCTATCTCAACACTGAATCTCACATCCAATTATATCAACAGATATTTATCGCCTCTTTGGTGACGTCAACGAGCCCGAAAATGGAAGGGCTTCTTATGACTTGTCCATTGACAAGAATTCTTGAATGAGATTTCTCAAGTGTGAAAACATACTGACCTCTTACTATGAAAGGTCAAATTTGGGGTCAGAAAGAGACATCGCAGGAGAGGGGATGGAAAAAGGAAATGCGAAGGACAGGAGGTCTATCAATGCACAGTCTTATGGGGAAAGCAGCAACCAGTTATAAGGGTTGAATCTGGATCCTCCTCTTTCCCCTCCCTCCTAACTTCTCTGACCAGTTGTCTCTGGCAACACCTCAGTATCTGAAAATATCCTTTTGCTAGAGACCAAGTGTCCAGTCAGCTTTCTGCCTGGTTAAGAATGATGAACAAGGAGATGGGATTGTAGGGATATCTAGCTTTTAAGCCTCTACCTGCTTTTTCTTCCCAAGAGCAAATAAAGGAATTACGAGTCTGCAGAAGCAAGACCAATATGTCTCTTGAAATGAGGCTAAAGTTTTTAAAAATGATTGGCAGGAGCAGCTTCTATGATGAAGTGGCCCAAACTAGGGTCAGTTGGGGATGCAGCAAGATTTTAAATTCCCCCAGAACTTCACTGCTCCTCCTTTGTCTCTCTTGTCAGAATCCAAATTAGAGAGAGAAAAGTTAAATAAGAGGTGCATGAGTTATACAATCTTCATTTGGTCTACTTGATGCAAACCCAATGAGAGAAGCATCCATTCTACCTTCCTATTCTATGTTGGGAAAGGCTTAAACTGCCTGATAACAGGGCTCAATTCATCAGTTACATATTTTCATTGATGAACATTGAGCCCATAAAAAGGTAATCTCATTCATTTTATTTCTAAATACTATCAACATGCATCATAGTATCCACATCAGGGACACCCAGATTGTTGTTTTTTTTTGTTGTTGTTTTTGTCTTTGTTTTTTGTCATCTCTTTTTCCAAATTTAAATGCATGGAAACCTGATAAATACAAAAATGCTCTCTGCACTACCACAGAATGCAATGCTAAGCTTATAAAACCATACTCAAATTTCAAATTAAATTGACACTATCACGTAAGTAGGAGGCAGTTACCTCTAATTTTGTAGTTCAGAATGCAATTCCAAACTCTGGTGTCTGTTATTTAAATCAGTTTCTAGATAACCATGAGTTCTTTATCAGAAATCTCCTGTTGCTCATTTCTGGTTAACTTTGCTGCTTCCTTTGTAGCTACATGACAAATGATGCAATCATATTTCAACTTCCATTTTGGGTCTATACTAATCCACAACTGCTCTTAGAAACAGAAGGAAGGTAGAAAGAGAAATGCTGGTAGTTTCCAGAGAATTCAGCCCATAGTTGGATCATTGTGCTATGGAATGTACTTTTAGATGAAATGTACATATGAGAACAAAGAAATGTCTTCTGGGAAAGATGTAGGTTGTTAATAGAAAATCAGAATTATATAGAAAATGGTTGAGCTTCTATAGGAAAGCAGTGTTTTATGTTTATAGGGGGCATACAGAACCTTGGTTTTTGTTATTGTGAGCTTTTTTTCCCTTTGAATGGATCTTAACTTTTTGCTTACTTTCCTTTATGACCCCTTCACTGTCCCCAGTGGCAGAATCAGCTTAGAGGTCAATCTGGAGGTGGAAGTAGATTTGGAAGAAGTTCAGGTAAATGGATACAGAAGAAGAACTAGGAAAGGGATAAGACCATGAATTTAGCTGGGAAGGCCTGAGAGGTTCCTCCAGAGAAGACACATGTTTTGGACTCTGACTACCCCATACTCCTTCAGATCTCTCTCCTTTGGTCCATATGAAGGATGTTGTTTTAGTATAGCTCCCTCATCACTGTTGAATTCTTGCTGTGAGATTTTCCTGGAGTAGGTAGTTGGTGGGGGACAGAGTGGCTCTGAATAGGGGTGAGCACAAAAGGCCTGGATCCCAGAGGAGGAGGAACTGGGCAGAGCAGCCCTTACTTGTGATTTATCCAAAAGTAAGATCTCATCAAATCACTGGATATTTACATTAGAAATGACTTGAAGAGATCATTTGGTTTAAATGAGAACCAGAGAGATTAAGTGACTTACCTAGGTAATGGTAAAGTCAGAATTAGAATCCAATTCTTTTGATTAGCAGCCTGTACTATTTCTGTAATATAACAATACCCTTTGAACCTCCCCCCTTTTCTAGCAGAGACACACAAACAAATAGAAGTGAGAAGATGAAGTTAGATAAGCGACACATTCACACACCAATCCTAGACTTTCCTTATATTAATAAATCTCTTAAGACATGAGAACACAGAGATTTTCTGTGAATGCTGATGCCCCAGCACCTGATCTTAAATCTCTGGATGCACACACTGCAATTTACCTTTCAGCTGAATCTTGTAGTTATAACATGAGGTTTTTAAATGTATTGCCAACTTACGATGCATTAATTTGATCTTCTACCTTAGTTCATATTGGAGAAAAAAGATCTTTGGATAAAATACAGAGTTATGTGGTTCTCAAAATAATGATATAAATGTGTGATTGGAGAAATAATATGATGCAGAGGACTTATATATGCAGTAAACTAAATTTCCAAGTCCATAAAAATCACCACTGATAGATTTGATCCTACACGTAGGAATAACTAGTAATTGGAGAACCAACTTAAATGCTTTTAGAACCTAAAAACACAACCCAAGGAACATGGGCATAAAAACAGGGATTATTTTACATTTTAAACCACACTTTTTCAATAAAAACATACTATAAGATATAGTTAAATTTTAAAAGACATGGCACAGTAGCCCAATAAATAAAGAAGTATCAGAAATAATAGGTAACTGCTGGGCTTATCCCTGTCATCTGCATCTCCTTGCACTTTCAAGGAGTATCCCAACATGTGCTTCTATTAACAAAATTCATGGCAAACACAGTCTCCAAGTTTGCTAACTGAAACATTTGTTGAAAGGAATCTACCATCTCCAATGACAGTCTTTAAAAATGCCTAGGGTAGACAGATGTTTTGGTAACTGTTTGTGCTTCAGATAGATTAGTAACTGCCTTCAGCTTCCATAGGTAGGACTAGGGAAAGGAAATCAAACAACACAAATACCTAACTGCTTCACCAGTAACAATAGCTTTTATTATCAAAGCCACTCATCCTCCTTGTAGAAACTTGGAAAAACCAGAAAAGTATAAAGAAAAATATAAAATTCCTCAGATTCCAAAATTGAAAGATAATCTCAGTTAATATTTTGTGTCCCTTGAGAATTTTTCCTGAGCACATACATTTATGTAATTGAAATAACAATATGCTTTTATTTTGAATCTCTGCTTTAAAAAAAAAAAACAAAAATAAAACAAATCTCTCTTATTTAAAACTTAAAAGTCATTGGTTGAAGGAATCTTTTCCAGATTCCAAGATTAAGTTTAGGACCTGTGCTCAATGCTCTCCTAACATCACGAATGTCCTCCATCATGGAGTTCACATTTTTAAATAGTTACTGGTACAATATGTATCTTCCTCTCTGGACTGTAAGCTGTGTGGCAGAGATTGAGTGTCTTTATACACTTCCATATTCAATACTCACAGCCCTTAGCATAGTGCCAAAACATAGTAAATAACCAATACACCTTCTACATGGATGAACTACATGAAGTATAGAAAGTGACCCATAAACCTATAATCAAGAAATAACTAGATGAACATTTTGTAACTAAAATGTTATAGTCTGCTTTTTTTTTGTTTAAAATATCTCAAACATTTTCCTATATCTAAAGTGACATCCATTTTATTGACTGCAAGGAGATGTACTGCAATTTCTATACATTCATTATATATCACCATACTAATGACCTGCTTTTTAATTTTTCT